ATACATTTGGAACTATCTCGTAGTTTAGTATATTCGATACGAATATTATTTATAGAGTAATAATTTTTCATTACATACTTACGTTTGTAATCGTTTATTTAATTTGTTGTACATTTTAAATACAGCTTCTTATATAGGTATTAGTCACCGTATATTTTTATTTATTTACTAACTTATGTACACGCGACTTCGTCCGCGTGGAATGTAACAAAAAAAATTATTAGAGATTTTTTCTATAATAAAAGTAGCCAAAATTACTCCTTTTTACATCAACTACCTGCCATAAAAAATCTCGTCAAAATCGGTCCAGCCATTTCAGAGATTAGCCGGAACAAACAGACAGACAGACAAAAATTGTAAAAATGACAGACAAAAAAACAGACACTTCAATTTTATTTATATGTAAAAAATGAACTTATTTTATTGGTGTATGTAACCTAAACAGAACTTGTATTTATATATATTGTTTTTATTGTAAATACATACCTAATATACATAGGTTTCATGTAGTAAAAAATTAATATTATAGTACTAATATATTGTCACACTAGTAACTACCAGCATCAGTCGAAGGTAATGGAGGACCAGGGCAACATACTATATAATGATGTTAACTTAAATAGCATGATGCTATTAAATTTACTAAGATAGACTTTGTAAAAACTCATGTGCATGCGTACCTCAGTCTCACCTATTTCAGAAATAATCTGCTTCTGAAATAAGTGGTTTATATACTGTATGTTAATTAAAAAGTGAAATAAGTCGGTGAAATTACAGTATTACCTGATAATCTTCAGGTGATATCTTAGTCATCTTATCGTTGTCGCATGCCTAATCCTTGTTAATGTATATTTACTTAGAACACAGATAACATAATATTACATACTTAGAACAACATTTATTAAAAGAGCAACACACAACTTTCCTGCTCAATCTTGTTGTGATGAAAAATAAAAAAATATAATTCAAATGTTACGTTAAGTTTATTTGAACTAAGATTATATATATAATAATAATACTAATAATAATAATTTTATTATATTGTCCAGATTTGGACAAATAAAAATAAATAAAAAATTGTTGAAGGTATTTTTTTTTCTTATGATTATATATATATTACAATTAAAATTATACGAGTTTTGCTTAGCTGGAAACTAGATGGCGCTATGTGAATTGTCCAGGGTTATTATTATTCCAATTTTCTAGAAAAATAATGCGCTTAATATACTGTTAAGGTATTTGAAAACGTGACCAATAACTAACCAATGTAAATGTGTATTCACATTATGTGTATATGTGTATTCATATTTAGTTAGTATCCTTTCAATTAGACAAAAGTTATTGATTGATAGTACATTAGTTATTCAATATTCAACGGCGGCCTACTCAAATTACTGGCAAGTGATAACAATGGTAGGTACCTAACCTACAGAGACGTATCAACCATGTCGGGAACCATTTTATAACTGGAATAATCCTAGGATGATCCCTAGTTAAAAACCCCAGGATATCATCTGCTCGCTTTCAGGGTTGAGGCCGCGAGGTGATCTCAGTATGTACCGTGAGCCCGGCAGTTGTCGGGGCTCCCAGGCAATGCAACTATCATGGACCCTCTCCGTAAAAAAAGTTTTTAAAAATATTACTAAGTTATATATATACAGATTACAATATTTTTGAAACAATCTCACCGTTATTGTACTATTTGTCTTCCTAATAAACGACTCTCAGAGACTACTACTATTGTCTTTCGTTGTTCGCAGGCTCCATGACGCCAGCTGTGTGTAAAAGAGACGACATAATGCTTCCTTCTCTTTCCCACATATACTAGACTTATCATGTGACACTCGCAAAGCTAATGCGATACAATTCCAGAAGACTATGATGCCATGCCTCTTATCCTATAATTCCACTGCTTATTTTGCACCTTATAACCGAAACACAACTTTCAAAATAAGCTGCTTAGCGGCTGAAATAGGTAAGACTGTAATTTTGTTCGCTCGTGGTGGCCCTGGGCAATTGTGTACTGTACTTAAGCCGGCCCTGTACCTACTAGATAACCATTGTTCTATTAGGCAACAACTGGGAGCTCCACTGTTATTGTTACTGCATAGATTGTAATATTTTGATAATATCAATAATATCCATATATATGTAATATTAATATATATTCACGATTATTATCTAAGATGGCATAGTCAGAAGTATCGTCAACCGTCTGTCTTGATCCGTTACAAAAATAGGGACCCATTTATTTGGGGTTGGCGTAATATGTTTTTCTTTCTCTCATCTCTTTATTACTCTCTCTCTCTTACTATATCATATTACACAGTCCATCCTTCTCTTTTTAGGCCTTCCTCTGCCCTTATAGCCATCCACATTCATATGTAACACTTTCCTTAAGATTTCAATGACAAAAAAACAAGGAATCGCAGTAAAATATATTTAATTGATTCTCGTAAATTCAAATTTAGAACTACCATAGTCGAGTATTAAATTACGGTTGTATTCTATTTTATTTTTAAATTTGAAACTTTTGTTATAATATGATATGTACACTAAAGAGGGCAAAGACGTATCGTCATTCAGCCAAATTAACAGATAAAGCAAGCGCCGCTTCCAACCATCGACGTTACAATTCATGTGGCAAGCCAACTCTGCCAGATATTTCGGGTAGGGTGGGAACAGTTCGATAGACATGCGACACTGTGACGCCAGCGGTACACTTCGCCGCATTATATTCACAATTTTATGAAATTAAGCAAATAATCGCAAAATATTTTGTACATTAATTTCAACAATCACCCCCTTTTCTTAATAGACCAGCTTTAAAATTTGTTAAATATTTTATTGAAGAATGAAATGCATATTAATTAATGAAGAAACAAATGCAACAGCATTACAAAAGCAAGCCCCTGATGATAAATAACAGACAAATCTGATTGAAGCGTATTTGAGTTACAAATTTTTTGTTTATATAACTCTGGACAATTCTTATATACATTATACTAGATATTTTATAAAAACCAAAAAGACAATTATTTTTAAAAATAGATAAATAGTATTTATAAGAAAATATAATGGCTACATAAATTTACCACAGATAAGATAAAATATTACTTAAGTAAGTACCTACATTATTATTTGCTTATTTAGAATTTATAGCACACCAACTGTACATCGCGTTTCGCCTTTCCAGAATGGAATCTCTACTTTATATCGGCCTTTTTATTGCATTTTATTTTGGCGCGACTTTGCTCCGTAGCAAACGCTCACCCCGCAAATATCCAGTTATATAAAACAAAGTTCTACGCCCCAACCACTGCAGCGTATGTTAGAACCATGTCGTGATCAAGCAAGTCGTAGCGATTGCTTTTATTGCGTCATATGAGCTATTTACGAGCGGCCATTTTGAATAATAATCTTATTTATTTTTAATAAAAATAGCAAATGCAAACCTTAGTACAGTTCAAAGTTCACATAAATGTTTGTTTATTTTAAACATGCTTGAGTATGATGAAAAATTATTATGACACTAGCAACCAGCCCCGGCTTCGCACGGGCTCAATATTTATTGTAAAATATCTGTATATGTAATATTACATAAAATATATAGTACTATAACATAGTATAGTAGTAAAGTATATGTAACTTTATCTCCATGAATTTTCCATTTTGATTTAGCGATTTGTTTTTATAAAAATAGGGAAACTGCGTTGATATGTCACAGAGTAAGGTTCTTCTTTTATTAAAACTAAAATATCTCCTAAAGTATTCGTTGGATTCAAAGGAATCAAATCAATCAATTAAAAGTAATGAAATGTAAAAGACATTTTAGTTTAAAATTAAATACTTATATTGAATAACTTACTTATTTGCATAAGGATTAATATGCATCATGCTTACAAAAACACCTTCCCAAATAATTTACTACTTTAGAAGATTACCATAAAAAAGGTTACATGTAGTTAACCTTAAAATTATATTTTCGCAATTTTTTTTTTTAGAATTTTGAAAGATGAGGAAATTCGTCATCCGTATTTTTTGCGTAACCTTAACCACGCAGTGCACACAGTACGCTAAATCGTTTTTTGCAACATTTTACTGCTGGGCTCCTATTCATTGTAGCATGGTGTTATATAACACATAGGGATAATATACGTTTCTAATAGTAAAAGAATTTTTAATTTGAGTTCGAATGAACAAACAAACATACAAACTTGTTACCTCTTTGTAATATTAGTATTTATAGACAAGTGGCCAACCGCGACTTAAAAAATTTATACTACCTATAATTTTTTTGAATTTGTCAGAAAGTTATCTGATACGTATATGTTATTACAGTAACCAAACTCAATATACTCGTGGTTCACTATCTTGATAATATGGACTGCCAAATATGTAGAATAAAAGAGTTCAAAAACAAAAGTCAACGACAGTGTATTTTTTTCGTTCTCTTTAACCTCACTGGTGCCCCGCATTATCACTGTATGAAGCACCATATCATTATCATCCAATAAAAAGAAATAACCTATACTGAAAATTAAATATAAACTTATTGTTAAAATACAAAGGTGTAATAGTAATAATGAAAAGATTTAATAATCATTCGTATTTACAATAATGTTTCCTACTTATAGTTTATTTACCTGTTCTGTAGATCAAGTACCAGTGGTAATTTAGTATTAAATAAAACAAATTTATTTGTTCAATAAGACACCGTAATTGTTTACATTTTTGTGATTACCTTATATTGCCAATCAATATGACAACTTTGTTTGTATTCCGGCACTTTGTGAAAAAGAGACAAAATTCCGTTTCGTAATGTTTCATGATAATACTCATTCTACGAAGAATTTCTTTATTGCTTATTATTGTCTTTTTTTCGTTTTGATTCCAATATTATGTTATCTGTGGCACTACATGTCATTGACTGACTGCATCTGTTGCGTCTCTGTAATCTGTGGTCATGTGTATGTTAAGGTTGGCAGCGCTGAATTGGTATTTCAATTTCAAAGTTTCAAACGGTTCTTTTATCTTTCTGTGAGTTCTATGGCGTCTGTCAAATAATAAAACTTTGAAAATTTATTATTTTTAACAAACATGTCCATTTTTAATGAAAGACTGACTAAACTTACCGAAATATCTACATTATACACTCGTAATATTAATCAAGATCTAAAGGTAAATAATATATGTTTATACATTGATAATCTTTGTATATTTCACGCGACATTATTTTCTTATTTGTATAGAAATATTTTAAGGTATACTGCGCTTTAAAACCCTGAACCTCGTCGTTCAGATAATCTTGTATGATTTCACAAATCTTACAATATTGTGGTACTCAAGAAAATTAAAAAAATAGTGATGTGTGATTATTGTGTTCTAAAGTGTATTCAAGTGGTTTTATAATTTTTTAAACGTGTTTTAGATTATTCTGGAAACTCTAGATAAGTTTGCAGAGGAATATCAAAATGGTCGTGGACGGGCGCGGGAAAAGGGAGCAAAAGACAAAAACCTTTTGACGACTCTTCAAAGCATAAATGAAGACGAAGGTTTGCTGCATTTTTTTCTTTTTTTTATAAATAACTTAAAATCTTTAATTCTAGAAGAGGTAGCCAAAGACACTTGTGTGAACTCGACGTTGTGATGAATGTAATACTATGTTGACAATATTGTTTTCACTGTTTATTGTATGTTAATTTGCCACAATGACCTACAGTTAGTTCAGTTCAGTTTGTAATCCACGGTTTCAAACAATTAAAGATAAAGTGCATCAGATTGGAGTATTGTATATAAAAAGCAGATTTATAATCAAATTAACAGTCTGCTTTAAGTTGTGCCCTAAAAACTGTAAACCTAAACTATTTCCGCAAGTTCTTTAGACAGGACTTCTTCTATTCCCGGAGTAGTCTAGTATCCTTCTGCTCTAACTTCTTTTTCCATTAATCTTCCCATGGAAGATTAGCCTGAGTATCCTGTAACTATCATGACTCCATTACTTTAACAATTTTTTTTCCTTTTTAATCATGCAATCAGTCGTCAGACTATAAACAGATTAGTTGATCATATCAAATCTCATAAGAGGTGATTCTCCATTGAAAATATTCCAACTTATGCTAGGATATTGAGTCTGGTATTGTACTCTTAAGACATGACATATAATCAGGCAAGTAGCAGCAATGTCAGTTGAACAGCAAGTTTAATCTGATGCCTGTCCATTTTGATTTTATACTTTTTTATTGTTTGTGAGATTTCCTCCATGACAGAGTTGATCTGCAGATCATTTTTTTAATACTTTGTTCTAAATTCTAGATGTAACAACCACTGCTCCGGAGCCTGTGCAAACTTCTCGTCGGTCCAGTGTTAAATCCAATGATAACTGTAGCTCTAATAATAGCAATGAAGAGAAAACACAGAGGTTATCCAACAAGCGCAGTAAAAATGAAGTGGACGGGCTTTCTAGCCCTGAACAGGACAAGAGACACAAGCGCAATGCTTCTGTTAAAGCACAAAGTATTATTACTAAACAGGTATTGAAATAGTAATGAACTTATTATATATTTATAATAATAGTAGTGAGACCAAAAAAAAAAAAAACTAGAGTTTTATTATGTAAGGCACATTTACATGCGCCATCTAGTTCCAAGAAATAGAAATACATATAATTTTTATACAAATAAACTTAATATATGCACTATTAAATAATCACATTTCCCGATTCTACAAATCATTGGGAACACTGGCTTGACACACAGACAAAACAAATAAACAAGAAACTTGCATGTTGCTCTTTTAAAGGTCTGAATCCAAAAGCAAAAGCAAAATGGGTACTAAATGCCTGATATAAATATGTAAATACATGCATAATATACAAAGTAAACACCCATTCAAATAATTGTACTAATTTGTATAAATGTTTATTTGAAGTTAGGATTTGAACCTACAACCATTGGAGGTGAAGCGGTGTACTAAACCACTACACCACCTAGGCTGTCACTTATATTCTTATGTATTGTAGGTGAATGTAAACTTAACACAAAAGATGCGTCGCGAGGATGCGTCAGATAAATCTCAGTCGCGAAGCAGACGGCGTAAGGATGACAACAAAGAAAATTCAGAACCTGTACCAAATATACAGAGTAAGTGATAATACAAAGTTACTTATTTCCACCACTCCACAATTCCTCTCAGTAACTCGAAGTTGGACTGGATGAAATCCCTCTTTTGGTATAAGTCTGCCATTGTCTGCATTTATTTTTAAGTTGTATCCTTTTTATTTATAATGTTATTGCACAATAAAGAAAACAAACAATCTTAAAAAATCTAGGAGTGTTTGTAGTGTGCTCAGTGCATGGTAATGGAATGGTGCACCTGCCTTTGCTAATGGTATACCATTAGCAAAGGGTATACCCTGGCAAGGCTCCAGTGTAGGATGATAATATGAGGGCAGGTCAGTTAGCCCAAGCGGACTAATTCTCCAAATTTTTTCTTTTTCATTTCATTATTATATGACTCCTACTATTTTCTATGAGTCACATTCATAATGAAAGCAAAAGAGAAGCACAGTTAAGAATAAAAACAGACTGGTTAACAACATTTATTTCTTCATTTTGTTTTTCAATATGACTAGCCATTTAACATTTAGAAGCAGTAATCATTCTAAATGTACTGTTGCAATATTAAATCTACATTATGTGATACACATATGTAGTAAGCCAGCATAAGCTATAATAAAACTTACAATAATAATAATCTCAGGACAATTCACACAGCACCATCTAGACCCAAGTTTAGCTAGCTTAACTTGGGTCTAGATGGTGCTGTGTTATGGGTACTAGATAAATGCATACATATTATAGATAAAAAAAAGACCATACCATCAATCATGAATACAAATGTTTGTGCCGTGCGAGGAATGAACCTGCGAACTACGGAAGTAAGGCGGTGTGCTAAAGCGCTAGACCACCGAGGCAGAAAACCAAATGCAATTGAATTTAACATCTTCTGTTTTAATATGGTTTAATATTGATTAATTACAGTAAAGCAAGAGAAGATATCACTACCACCAGAACCAATGGATACAGCATCATTGCCAATTGACACTGAAATCAAACGGGAAGTTAATGAAGATGAAATTACAATGCCTCCACCTACTGCACCCGTGCCTAGTAAGGAATTAATATCTTTTTTTTTATTACTAGCTTTACCGTTTTTGCATCATATTTCACTATAACTCTACCCCAATTGGTCATAGTGTGAAGTCTGAAAACAAATATTATACAAGAGAATCGAACCTATGACCATTATAATTAAGCCGCTAAACCATTAAGGTTGACAAGTATAAATTTGGAAGTTGTATGTGTAATTTGTACACAAAATTATAATTCCAGAGCCTCGTAAAGCAGCAAAAGATAGAGCAACCCAAGATGATAATGAGGAAGAAACTACCAGTAGAAGAAGGACCACTAGGACCAGGAAACAGACGGACACAATGCCACCACCTGGTTAGATATTAATTGTATTTTTTTTTTCTTATTTCCATTCTATTTGCAATCAGTCCTTTTAGCTATAATGAGATCTAGTGCAGAGGTGACAAACTCAAATTTGCAGGGGGCCATTCTTAAATTTAGAATATTACGGCCAGCCAGATTAAAAAAATTATCTTAATTAAAACCTCCATATAGGAGAGTGAAGTCTAAAAGCTCTAAAAACATGATTCTTCCTTGTTATACATTACTATCGCAGGCCTTATTAATACAACCCGGGGGCCGGATGCGACCCGTGAGCTGTAACAATAAGGTCCTCTGTTGCTGAAATTGTATTAAAATCTGTTCAGTAATTTGAAAGATCTAAGCGAACTTCATTTTATACTATGTAAAGATATAAAACCATATTACCAGGCATATGGGATTCAAGTAGTTATTAAAAAATATGTGTAAAAACGAGCCATAACATAGCACTTTTATAATTACTGTTCTAGACAAATTGTTGATTTTGGTAGGCAGTGAAAAAGCAACCGATATATATTTTAACTGATATAAATGTAATTTTTAAAAATGAAGTGTTTAATCAATATGTTTCCTTCCTGCAGCGGCTGCGCCCCGGTCGACCCGGGCCAGCTCGCGCGCCGCCCGGCCCGGACCGGAGCCCGAGGTGACTCCGCCAGCGCCGCACTCTCCACCGGACCTCAAGCCTCAGATACCCGAAGTTAGGCCCAAGCGCACCAGAACTCGAAAGGTGAGTTGTAAACTACAAGACAGACGGACAAGTTATTGGGATTACAAATTATTATTAAAGCTTTTAGTCTAAATCAGGGGTGAGCAACCTTTTTAATCTTAAATTTAAAACAACACATTGTTACAATAAGTAGACTATAGTGCTTTTTTTTAAGAGATGAATATGGAATGGCGCCACCGCCTGCGCTGACGGTATTCGCTGGCGGGACACCAGTGGAGGATGATGAGTACGAGGTCAGGTCAGTTAGCTCATCATGGCAAAACCACCTGGAATTTAACATGATGGTTTCCAAGGGAAACAGTAAGGTCAACCTGATTATGGTACATGCTAGCAATGGGATCGACAGTTCTAGACAAACCAAGATCTTATAAAAGATTGTAGAAAGATTCTGCTGGTATACCTCTTACCTTATATAATATATATACTATACAATTCTAACATACTGATATTCATTTTCACAGAAGGTATCTGAGGTTGATACAGATTCTGAAAAGCAAGCAACGCAAACTGCCCAAGCAGACGGGACAGGTATAAATTTTTACCTCATTCTGATATTAATACCAAAGTCAACAAATACACAAAAAGTCATAATTTATTTGTATGGCTACAATATATATATATATATATATATATAATTAAGGTGTTATAATTGAAGGGTCCTACAGGTCCCGGCATAAATTTAATTGACGTTCAGACTTAAATGCCATGTAGTCAATATTTATATATACACTTTTGTTTATTGCTCGTAATTATAGAAGTATAGTCTTTGACAGTAGAATCTTAATAATGTTCAAACTTTTAATTTAAATTAATATTGATCCATGTTTTTCCACTATGCGACTAGTTATTAAAAAGCTGTAATATATAAATTAATTCCTTAATAATAATCACGCAACCTATATAAATATACATTGTAAATAAATTGGCTTTAAAAAAAAGTAATTCAAATTGAGTCTTCAAAAGAGTTCTTCTCAATTAGATCTATATACCGAACTGGACGGTAGGGAAAAAAATAAAATTATCAGGTAAAAAATTTCACGTTAGTAAGCGGCTAAAATGTCCTACATTAATAAATTATTTTTGAATTTGAAATTGCAAAACATTGGACAACGACTGAATTTTCTTAAACAGATACATATCCTAGACAAACACATTGGATTCTAACTAGTTTGTTACTAAAATTGCTATGAAGTAAAGATATTTGCCTATCCTCCCGCCAAATAGCAAATCGCGGAGTGGGCAGTTTTAATTGTAATATTGATTTTTAAATTTATACATAATCAATTTTCTATATAACACGGTTTGTATATTTTGATATAATCCACAGCATCACCAGCTGATAAAAGACCCAAGAGGACCAGAAGAGGACAAAAGGCGTAAGTACTTTTCCGTTCGTTTCCTCTTTTTATTGCTGGTTAATACCAACATATAAAACATTGTAAGTACTTCTACTGGCTATAACATAACTCAAAAAACTTCTAACGTTGAAAAATTATGCATTGTTGTATCTTAAACATGAATAAAAATATTGTTTTTTTATATATAATATAACAATTAAAATATAAGTAATATATGTAATGGCAGACATTAAACTCTCAACTATTAAGGATTCGATACCTTCATTTCATAATCTTATTTAGGCATATTCAGTAGGTCTTAGAATCAGCTACTATCTATTTTTCATACATCTAAGTGATAAGGGTTGTCCACCACTAATATTTATTTAATAGACAATATTTTTTTATGAGGCATTAAAAATACATATAACTCTAAATTTTCTAGCATCAACCCCTATTTTTTAATTTATATGACAAAAGAAAGTTTGTGGGGTCAGCTAGTAACAATATTACAACAAATATAATTAATTTAGTCATCTCTATAACTTTATAAAACTTAGATAATTGTAGTATTATTAGAGGTTTAGCATTACAATGTTGTGTAGACATACAAACATAATCGGAAATAATTTAAAAAAAACTTACAATTACAGTAACAAAGAAGAGGCCCCAAAACCAGACCCAGTGGTATCACCAAAAGAAGACCTATCTCAACCCGAAAACGCTCCATCGCCGATTCTACCACAAAAGAAAACAAACCATAACAAAGAAGCAATAAAGATCAAAGTCGACAGTGACACAGAGAAAGATATTACCAATAAAACAAATCAACTTCAAATCAATGGCATAAAGTCGAAAATAGTACTACAGAGTTCTGAGGAAGATGTAGAATGTGAAGTTATGGATGAAACACATGTATTGTCTAAAAGTAATGATGCAGTTGTACCGAATGATATGGATAAAACAATTGTGTTACCAAATGGAATATACGAACATGCTCCAGTCACTCCTAAGAAAATTGTAAGTATTTTAAAGGTAGTTATTGGAAATTACTTCCCAAATAACGAGACCAAGGTATTTAGTCTTCCTATTGGTCGTAGCGTGATGTTATATAGTCTACTAGCTGTGCCCGTAACTTTGTCTGCGTGGAATACTGACCTTGATAATATAAATAAAAAATATTTAATAATCTTACCCGAAAAAGCCAACGAATTATATTGTTCTAGCTTAAAAAATTACGATTTTCCATACAAACTTTCATTCCATATTTTATTTTACCTCTACAATGGGATTTTTTTTTACAAACTTTGAATGTTATATTTATTGATATTTAATCAACAGCCTAAAAAAATAAGTTTCATGCATCTAGCTTTAAAAACAACAATACTATACAATTTTCATCTCTCTTCGCTATATATAAACTAATTTTTCCTCATTAAAAAGTAGCCTAAGTGGTTTCTCCGGGGTTAGACTATCTGGGTACCAAATTTTATTTCAATCTGTTCAGTAGTTTTGGCGTGAAAGAGACAGTTATTTTTGCATTTATAATATTCATAAGGATTAGTAGCACAAAAACCAAGTTATTACGCAATTTTTTTTTATTGGGTTGTTTGGGCTATTGTCAGATGTTTGTAGCACCTGTAGCACTGCGACCTATATAGATCTATTGTGCTCGCCCTTTTTCAAAGTTCGCTACCTAGACCCGTCTGGTATTACGCAATTTAGCTCCACCGGCAAAAGCCTGACTCTTAAACAGAGGCGTAGCTACCGCCGTATGTGCCGCATCAATTTTATGGGGTCCCCGTGAGCGAGCGTGAGCAAAAATTAACTTACCAAATTTTTTTTATTTCACTTATGAGAAAAGTAAATAAAAACAATTTCTTTTTTTCCCGCATCAGCTATAAATGGTTTATTAAATCAATTTGCCGAAACAAGGCAACGGCAATGTGTATATTTAATTTGTATTGTTTCTAAAAATGTGTGACAAATAGATAATTATGATGAATAAATATTTCTTTTAATTTTTTCTTCCTTTGCGAGAAATCTTTACCCTTCGTAAGGGCCCCTAAACAAATTTTTATACGGGGCCCCGCCAAAGTACGCTACGCTTCTGCTCAAAGAACTACATTTCATTCATTCATATTTGAATGAATGAAATGTAGTTCATTGTGACCATCATTATATTTAATTACATGATTTTTATTAAACAACTAGCTACTCGTCCCGGCGACGCACGGGTGTACATGTATTATGTATATTAACCTTTCTTTTGAATCACTCTACTAAAAAAACTGCTTCAAAATCCATAGTTAGCATAGTTTTAAATATTTATTCTTTCGAATGTCAGTCGTCTGTCTTAGCGACCGAAAGTGACGCGTTATGAGCGCGCCAGCTGTATTTTTTCAAATGCGTTTCAATATTGTTTTGTTTTAAATAAGGACTAAATTGGTTAAAAAGAAATCACGGTTTTGCGGGCACAGATCTGTGACAAGACGGTAATACGGTTTAACAGGGGTACACAGATCTGTGTCAAAACGTTCGAAGGGTTAAGCATACATAGGTACAGACAGCGACATCGAATTTGTTTTATACTGTGTAATGAAGACAATTTAACCTGCAAACAATTTTTTTGTTTTTTTTTTTATATAAGTTCTCTAATTTATTTTTTCTTCAACAGAATGTAAATATGAATACTACAGTAGTATTGGAGAAGTATGACCGCGAAACAATGGTCATAGAGAAACAAACAGCAATTATGGATGCTACTGTTGTTATAGACAAAGGTATGTTTTTTTTCTATTAATTGTCTATACTTCATTCTCTGCAGATACCCGGCTAGTGTATGTATCTTTAACGCAATAGAGTACAACATTCCATGTTTAATGTATGAAAAATATATATAGTTATATAGTTTATATGGGAAAATGAAATTTATTTTACTCTCCATGCAATTTCTTCATATTCTATCACCGTTTAAACCTTACCTGGACTTCCACGAATATTTCAAGACTAAAATTAGCCAAATCGGTCCAGCCGTTTTTGAGTTTTAGCGAGACTAATGAACAGCAATTCATTTTATATATATAGACTCGCACCCGGCCACGCGTTGCTGTGGCTAAGGCAATATAATAATATTGTGACTATAAATTAAGATGTAAGCTATCCTTTCAAGTTGGATCAAATTGCACACAATGTGCAAATCAAATTTGCAATCTGTTCAGTGGTTTAGGAGTCCATCGCGGACAAACAATGTGACACGTGATTTTTATATATAAAGATATGTATGTTTTGCTCCAGATCCACAAGTCCCAAATATTACTGAAGATAATTCAATACTAACAGATGATAACAGTGATGTACAAGAAGCACTAACTCCTCTTAAAGAAGACATACCTAAAGCGCAGCCCACGTGAGTACATTATATTCAAATAACTTAGGAGCCGTTCAAGTATTACGTAAGCACTATGGGGGGGGACTGGGGGTCTTTGCTTTTCTTATTTTAGGTGACATGGGGGGGTTGATAGGAGGTCTAGATGATGATTACGTCATCGATAGTTATTTACTGTTTTATACAAATGGCAACCCTCTCCGTCTTTGCTAAAAAAATAATACATTAATTGAATGTTTACGTAATCATGGGGGAGGGGGTATGAACTTGCTTACTTCGCTGACAAAGGAGTTGAGGTGGGGGGTTATACTAAACACAGCACCACGAGGCTTCACAGTCATGCGAAGGTATGAGTTTAGGAGTAACGAAATAATATTACACATAGAATCTTAAAGTATAATGATGAATTTCAGGTCCGCGGTAAAGGAGAAGGTGCAGCAATTCGAAGAGTTGGCGACAAGAGTGACAAGAACCAAAACGAGAGCCATGGCTAAAAAGGTATGCTAAGTATATTTTAATAATTTCACGGACGAGCATAATAAATCTATGCAGATCGCAGTGCTACAGGTCCAAGCACCGGACAATAGTGCAAACCCCGAATAAAAGGGATATTCCGCGTGGTATTTAACTTTATTTTACTAAAATAAAAGTAGCCTAAGTTACTCCTTATTCCATCAGCTACCTGCCAAAAAATGTCCCGTGAAAATCGGTCCAGCCATTTCAGAGATTAGCCGGAACAAACAGACAGACAGACAAAAATTGTAAAAAAATGTTATTTTGGTGCATGTACCGTATTTATATTCATAGGCATGTAGTAAAAAACTCGTTTCGTTCGTTATTTCAATATTACAAACAGACACTCTTATTTTATTTATATAGATTAACTTGCGAATTTTGCAGGAAGAAGGTGATGATAACCAGACACCGCCGGACAAAATATTGAAGCATGTACTCTCAGCAGAGACACTCAGCAAGATGAACAACTTAATATTCAATGGAAAAACAACACAGGTCTGTATTCTATATAATAATTATGCAATAAATTTTCTTGAAGGCCTCGGTGGTCCAGCGCCACCAGCACACCGCCTTACTTCCGATGGTTGCAGGTTCAATTCCTCGCACAGCATGTCAAATCTGTCGTCAGTTCGGAATTATTTCGAGATGAGAAGAACTGACAAGAATAGACTGAGAAGAATGAAAATATAATAAATTATATTTGTCTGTTAATAGGTATCAAGTTCAGCGACCAAACCTCGCACGAACATTATAACATCAGTCAAGTCATTCATTCCCTCGTCTACCTCCAAAGTGAGCGCGATAAACAAAGCCAAAGAGAAAGAGGCCGCAGAGGAAAGTATGAAGAAAGAAAAAGAAGATGCTAGAAAGAAAAAAGAGGCAATGCTGGAAGCCAAAAGAGAACAGCAAAAGAAGTAAGTTTGGTTGTCTTTATATATTGTGTTGTAATTAGATGTTTTAAATGGAGTAAAATTTTAAGCTACCTAACTATAAAGTTAGCAAATTTTTTTTCGGAAATAACATATCGATGAATAAAGTTATATTAATACATTATATATACATATATATATATATTTCTTTAACATGTTGAAGACCACATTGAAAAATCTTATTTCTCACATAGGGCCGGTCCCTATGTTTATTGTTAATAATATATATTTTTTTTTTTAAGTTTTTAGTGTACAATAATTTGAGGTAGACCTTATTCAACCCCTAGATTTATTTCAATGTCCAAGTGTCCATGGGTGATCACCCGGTCCCAACATATAAATTTACTTTCGTTGTGGAGTGACCCACCGGTAGGCATGCGGTCTATAACGTGTTGATAATAATAAGATTACACTCGCTACTAGCTATGCCACACTGTTACGTTGACTGGTAGATATCTTTTTTAGAAATAAGTCCACCTTTGCTCACTTTATCTATAATTAAACTAAATACTTAATATATTTCAAAGTGTAATATAGAATATATATAAAATTACAGAAAGAGGGAGGAGAAAATGGCGGCTGCTGCAGCTGTAAGATCAGCTGCTGAACGAGAACGTCGAGCGGCACTGGAGGCGGCCGACAGAGAACGCAGGGAGAAGCAAGCGCACGCCGACCTCGGACGGCAGGAGCGGCTACGGGAGGCAGAGCGGGTATGTCGTCATCCTACACTCAAATCCAATCCACCGGGCGCTCCACACCGGCGCTCTTTGTCGCCTCTCCGATCGATCCCCCGTACCATTCAAACGGAGATCTAAAAAAGGCTCGAACACCTAGCGGTGCCCTCAGACTAAAGTCGTATCCGTCAGGCTGAAATTGCCTACAGCCGTTCTTTAAGTCCCTTTGGTTTGGAGTGTTAATTTTTATCATCAATAATTGATAATCTTCTGTAAAAAATGACAAACAACATAGATCCTGAACAACTTATGTTTTGCTTACGACTTTTCGATATTTTGGTCATAGAAGAAGCAAGAACTAGCACGCAAAGTAGCAGAGACAGAAGAACGAAGAAGAGCGGAGGAACACGCGCGGCAACAGCGGCTCGCTGAGGAACAGAAGCGAGCTGATGCGGTCCGCCGGAAGCAGATCGAGGAGGCTGAGGCGTTAGTACTACAATTATATGCATATAATTTAGTTAAAAGTGTTTTATCTATAGAACAAAGAAATAGATAGATAGATAGTGATAAGAAATTACTTAGAAAACCAGGAAGATTATATTTCATTCATTGTTAGACATACAAAAATATAGAAAATCTATAAGAAAATACTAAAAAAAGATCATGTGATGTGACGGCCCATTATAAAGATTAATAAAATTGTCAACATCTGTCTGTAGGGATAGTCCACGTTCTTTGTAATCTATTCTTAGAAAATTTAAAGACATTGCTTCAGAAATAATTATTTTTCATGAAATTCCCGTATCAAATAAAAGTGTCTGCTGAAATACAAGATTCCTTTAATAGTGGCCTAACTAGACTTAAAAGTATATTTTAAAAAAATATTAGTATCTAGCTGTACCCCCGACTTCGCGTATAATAGGGACCTTGACCAAATAATGAAAAATATTTAAAATAAAATATATAATATAAAATAATCTAACCCAATAAAAGCCAAATTAAAAAGATTTCATCGTTCTGGCTTGAAAAATAACGAATTTCCATACAACTCAATCTACAGTCTAAAAAATAAGTTTCAGGCTTCTACCTTTAAAAATGACGATACTTACTTTCATCAATACCTACACATTTCATCTCCCCTTACAACCCCCCTTTCACCCCCCCTTTCAACCCCTTAGAACCCTTTTTCATTATTTATATTTAATCAACAGTCTAAAAATATATTTCAAGCTTCTAGCTTTGAAAACGATTATACTTCCATGCAACATTTCATCTCCACTTTCAACCCGTTACAACCCTTCTCATTAAAGAATAGCCTATGATCTTTCCAGGGTCTAAACTATACCAAATTTAATTTAAATCAGTTTAGTAGTTTTGGAGTGAATGTGAGACAGACAGAGAGACTTGCCCATTTGTGATATTAGTAGGTAAATCCTGTATCAAACATTTCTAACAATACTTCTCTAAACTCGAATTTGTATATTAAAACAAAAAAAAAATATTCTACCTTCATTGAGAATATGACTGATTGATTTTAGAATGAAGAAAGAAGCGGCAATAATGGCGAAAGAAATAGAAAAAAGGCAAAAAGAATATATAGAAAAGCAGAAAATCAAACAGAGACTGGAGTCTGACAAATGTAAGTTTCAACAAATGGCAAAAATATATTTAATGTTAATTTACATTGCTCATTTGATTTACTCTTCACTAATAGAAACACTGATAACATTATGCAATTTTTTTTGTTTCTAAAATATTTCTTTTTTTATAATAAACAGACAACCTCGGTGGTATACAGCATACCGCTTTACGACCGATGGTCGCGGGTTCGATTCCTCGCACGGCACAAACATTTGTATTCATGAGTATGATTGTTTGTATCGGTCTGGGTATTTTCTATGTTATAATATGAATATATTTACAAAAAAAAAAATTATCTATGTATTTGTATCAGTTGTCTAGGACCCATAACACAAGCTTTAGTTAGCTTAACTTGGGTCTAGATGGCGCTGTGTGAATTGTCCTGAGATTATTATTATTAATATGATTATTATACAACAAGCAATACAATAAAAAGGATTTTTAATTACGTTTTGTATCGTTATGCGCTCAGCATACCTTTATACTTAAAAATATATATCTACATATACCTAAATAATATAAGTGATTTCTATTTATATTATTTACTCGCTGTTCCCATGACTTAGTCCGCGTGGAATTTAACTTTTATTTTCTAAAATAAAAGTAGCCTAAGTTATTCCCTACTACATTAGCTACCTGCCAAAAAACGTCCAATCAATATCGGTCCAGCCATTTCTGAGATTAGCCGGAACAAACAGACTGACAGACAGACAGACAAAAATTGTAAAAAATGTTATTTTTGTGTATATGCCGTATTTATATTCATATGCATGTAGAAAAAAAACGGTTATTTCAATATTACAAACAGACACTCCAATTTTATTTATATGTATAATAGACGTATTTAACGTAAAAAAAAATGTATATCAGTTGTCTAGAACACAACATTAGCTATGCTTAGCTTGAGACTACATAGCACTGTGTAAGCTACACAGCTATCCAGGGTTATTACCCAGGGTCTGGGTGCTTTTTATCTGTATTGTGTATGTATTTAAAAACAAAATGTATTTAAAAAAAAATGTGTTATATATCAGTAATCTAGTACCCATAACACAAGCTCTTAGCATGGGCTAGATGGCGCTGTGTGACTTATCCAGTATTATTATTATTTTAAATATACTTCCAGTTCATACACCTCGGAAGACGCCGGGCACGCCTGGCCATCATCATGAGCAATACACAATGGAGCCGGTCTACATGGCAGACGGGTTCCAGTACCTCAACTCTGATGAAGAGGCAGAACCTGCTGAACGACCTATACCCATGTGGTGCACATCAAAGGTACCAATAGAATTTATTTATCGAAATTGGTGTTATTTTTTATAGGTAGATAGATAAGTTCTTTATCCCATCAAAAACATAATGAAATGATAGCCGAGTTTAATATTATGATATATGCCTTGATTGTTGACTTCTACGACAAAAGAGGTGAGATCTAAATGGGTGCCAAGTTCAATGGTCTGTCCTGAAATGTATTTATAACAATATAAAATATCATTTCTTCTTATAACTTACTGTAGCCTAAGGTCTGACACGGTGCTGCTCGCCAGTTCTCTTACTTGAAACTCGGCTTGACACGCTACCGCGTGTCTAGATTCAACAATTACAAACACATAGCATACATGAGATACATTTTATAAATAGAAATAAAGTTTACAAATTAAATAATACAGAAATAATATTACAAAATAAAATAAAAATGGAGGTGGCTTTATGTGTCGCAACGATGAAGAGGCAACCAACTCAGCATGAAGCTACAGATAAGTCTGCAGCGCTGATACTCTGTTGATAATTAAATACATAATAGTTTTTATATATATCTTAATGTTTATATATTACACATACAGAGCTTTAAACAATTATAACATCAAAACATTATACAATATATAAATAGATTAAAAATGGTGATGTGTTATGTTATGCATATGTGTGCACCTATACATACTAACATAAATAATATTTACATAGTCAGTGTGGAGAATCACTTATATGACTGTACCAAAACCTCCATTGGTTCAGTCTATGTCCTCGTTATAAAACGAAACAAAAAGAGAATAATGTACAAAAGATGGTCTGATATATATTTTTTTAATAAACTAAAATGAACTGAAAACGACAATAATGTGCAAATAAATAAGTAATATATATAACTAATATTTCTTTTATCTTTTAAACTTTTAATTAATCTTTTTTGTTAGAATGTGTAATTTTGTGTCAATTAATAAAGGCTTGATATATATGAATACTACATTGGTTTCAGAACTATCATTCAATACTATGAACATAATATTCTGTTGGCTCACGCTATAATTAAAAAATAAAACACTTACATACATATATAGGTGAATGTTTATATATTACACTTCGAGCTCTTAAACAATTATACACAGCACAACATATTTATTGTTTGGTATATAAATAGATTAAAAATGGTGATGTGTTATGTTATGCATATATTGTTCACCTATACATACTACGTACATAAATAATATTTGGCGGAAGTCCGTGTCACTACTTAATGGACTTATATGACTGTACCAATGACCTCCATTGGTTAGTCCAGATTCCCCGTTATAAAACGAAACAATTTTATGCTATTACCTTACTAATATTATACAACACTTAATGGATTTGTACGCAACTCAGTCGCAGTTTGACCGACGAAAAACATAGGAACATATGGAAAAACGCTGGATGATGCCTTTGTTCAGAGGACACGTTGACTCAGAGAGTAAACTCAATAACGATCAGAATTTGATCAAAGTAACATAAACATATATATAACTAATATTTGTTTTATCTTTTAAACTTTTAATTAATCTTTTTTATTAGAATGTGTAATTTTGTGTCAAATGACGAACCTCGGTTATACTGGTCGAATCTGCGCGAATACGTGCTTTTTATCGGGCATTACGGCAGATTCTGTTGATAATATTGGCTGGAAAGGTTATAGACATTTTATTTATATTTTGACATTGATTCAAAATTTTACTTACTTCTATGCTTTCCATCTTTCTAACAGATTCTCTAGAAGAAAATCTAGACGTTAATAAGCTGCTAAAATGCTCTACATGAATAAATTATTTTTAAATCCAAAGAAAGAGGAAGGGATCCTAGATTTAATATTCTTTACATGAAGTCTGTCATCTCTAACCCCTTGTTACACTTCCTCTCTTGCCCCGTATATTTTAACTACTGAGCTTTTGTGATCTTTTTTAAGCAAAACTTTTTGCAAGGAAACAAGTATCACGTTACTAAAGTATATCCATCGTACAAGGGAGAGCCGGGTAGATGCAAGATGGTAAATAGGTCTTATTATACCTGCCTTTACACAACACGTTCGTTTTCGTTAATATCTCGCGCTACGCTATCAGGGGCTATTTATTGATTTGCATTCGAGAAAGACTACATGTAAATTCAGCTATTGACATGCACACTATCGCGCTTGAAGAGCAGTTGGCGTATGAAAGAGCTTACTTGTAAAGGTAGCTATTGATATGCACAGTTTTTCACACGTAGATGCTAATTTGCGCGTGAAAAAGATGTGGTAAAAGCATCTATTAACATGCGCGCTTTTTTATATATGAAAATAATGTTTAATAAGTGTATTTATTCTTTATTTTATGCACACCTTTTTTTTTTATGGATGAAAAGCGTGTGTGTAAATGGTGACCCGCATGCTCTTTCCCACGGTTTACGGTCAGTTTGCCGGTTAAAGAGCGTGTGTGTAAAGGCAGCTATTGACATGATAAGATGAGCATGAGGTAAAAGCATGTGTGTGTAAAGGCATCGTGACAAATTTTTCACACACGAGTCAACACGATGGTTTGCCGGTGAAAGAGCGTGGAAAGGCAGCTCGACATGCATACTGACATGATACATTTTTCGCGTGTAAGAGCGTGCGTGTAAAGACAGCTTTTGACATGCACTTTCTTTCGAACATGAAAGTTAGTCCGCGCGTGTAAGAGTGTATGTAGAATTACTCTTTCATGCGTGATAAAGCGTATTTGTGAAGGCAGTTTTTCTTATATTAATATTAGTTCGCCTGTAACATAGTGTGTCTGTAGAGGCAGTTTTTAACATGAATACTCTTTCGCAAATGAAAGTAGTTCTCGCGTGAAAGAACGTGCGGGTGAAGGCAGCTATTGACGCGCACACTCTTTCCCGCATGTAAGTCAGTTCGCGCGTGTGAGAGCGCGCCCGTAAAGGCAGCTACTGACGTGCGTGTCAGTTCCCGCGTGAAATAGTAGGCGTAGAGGCGGCGACCGTAGTACAGCCCCGGTTGCAGGTGCGGCGGCCCGCGCTGGCGAGGCAGGCGCAGCTGCCGCCGCCGCTGGTGGACCGGCTGTTCTCGGTGCGCTCGCACTCGCCCGACCTGCGGGACATCTTCCCCGCCATCGACCGCGCGCGCCTCAAGCGGACCTCCTCCGCCGTGTGGAGCACGCCGCCGCACAGACTGCCCGCCGTCAGCGAGTGAAGGTGACCACACTACACACCCACACTATATACAAGCGGACCTCCTCCGCCGAGCACGGTGACCACACTACACACCCACACTATATACAAGCGGACCTCCTCCGCCGTGTGGAGCACGCCGCCGCACAGACTGCCCGCCGTCAGCGAGTGAAGGTGACCACACTACACACCCACACTATATACAAGCGGACCTCCTCCGCCGTGTGGAGCACGCCGCCGCACAGACTGCCCGCCGTCAGCGAGTGAAGGTGACCACACTACACACCCACACTATATACAAGCGGACCTCCTCCGCCGTGTGGAGCACGCCGCCGCACAGACTGCCCGCCGTCAGCGAGTGAAGGTGACCACACTACACACCCACACTATATACAAGCGGACCTCCTCCGCCGTGTGGAGCACGCCGCCGCACAGACTGCCCGCCGTCAGCGAGTGAAGGTGACCACACTACACACTCACACTATATACACAATATACACTGAAAACAACCAGACCGATACAAACAATCATACTCATAAATACAAATGTGTGCCGTGCGAAGATCGAACCGCGACCTTCCGAAATAAAACAGTGTACTAAACCGCTACACCACCGAGACCGTTAACAATTCAGATTCAGTTCCATATAATTAATACACATATTTAAATAAAATTTTTAAAGATATGCCTAATACAAATGTTTACATAGTAAGAGGAATCGAACCCACGATCAATGGAAATAATGTGTGTAAAGTAAATCTCTTATTCTCTTCTTAGTTTATTAATTCTCTTACTAATTAATACTAGCTATGCCCCCAGTTTCATCCGCATGAAAAGTTATGTTATTCTGTTGTATAAGCTTTATTAGTGTTAAATTTCGTTAATATCTGTTCAGTAGTTTTAGCGTGAAATAATAACAAATATACACACACACTCACAAACTTACGCGTTTATAATATTAATAAGATAATGCCTAATAATAAAAATTTCTTTGTTACAGATTCAAAATGTTACCACAACTGGTTGGTATCTGTGGTCGCTGGCGGCACTGTGTAAATATTTCATTATTTACAATTACAATGTATAAAATATTACATGTTTTTTAACAATATATGAAGTCTGTAACTAGTTTAATAATGATAGTTATTTAGTATGTATACTAGGCTATATGTACAGTAAAAACCGGATATAACGACATCGATTACAAAAACGGATCGGTTATTACGACTAACTGGCAGTCTTGAATCTATTATACATATAAAACATATATAATAATGATCCGGGACAATTCACAACGCCATCTAGTCCCAAGCTAAGCAGAGCTTGTATTATGGGTACTAGACAGCTGATATAAATATTTCGATACATTTTTTTTTGTACATAAACACATACATAGAAAGCACCCAGACAGATACAAAGAAATCATACTTATGATTACAAATATTTGCACCGTGCAGAAGCGAACCCGCGAACATCGGACGTAAAGCGGTGTGCTTTGTAATTATGACGAAGAGTCCACTGTATTGGTTGGTTGCCTCTACAATTGTTTACCTTGTTTGGTGTTTCCTTCACACAACAGGTAACAAAACACAAGAGGTAGTGAATTCTAATCTGGCAGACATAGAGAGTCATTATTACTATTTATATATGATATAAATAGTAATAATGTATATAAATAGTAATAATGACTCTCTATGTCTGCCAGATTAGAATTCACTACCTCTTGTGTTTAAATCTGGTTGTCAAAAACTAGGTCATGACACTGTCAATTAATTTTACGTGCTTATAATACAGCGTCTATATTTTGAGGTCAGTTCAATGTTGTTATATCAGGTTTCCACTGTAATTTGGTTTAGGGGCCATCCATAATACAATAATTTAATTATTTTTGATATCCCCTCGTCTTTGTCACAGTCGGTCACATTAGTGACATTCTCTGTCTAGACATCTTTACATAGATAGATTAAATTTTTATTTACGTTAGGCACACAAAGCACTGTAATATTAACAACAAAAATAAAAAAGTAGATTTTGTCACTCAACAAAATATATAGTATAAAACAAAGTGGCGGCCTCTGTTCGATATCTTTTCAATTAAGCAACGGATATTAACACATTATGAGAGGGGCAGGTATTTGTACCCGTTCCGAGGATTGCCACTTATAAGGTACTAGAACTCGTTCCGAACATAGCCGTTTAAAAGCAGGGAAGTTATTAGTACCCGTTTAACCTTTCGAATGTCCGTCGTCTGCCGCAGCGACCGAAAGTGAAGAGGCGGTATGCGCGCGCCAGCTGTATTTTTTCAAATGCGTTTCAATCTTATTTCGTTTTAAATAAGAACTAAATTGGTTAAAAAGAAGTCACTGTTTTGCGTTCACAGATCTGTGACAAGACGGTAATACGGTTTAAGAGGCCTGCACAGATCTGTGTCAAAACGTTCGAAGGGTTAAAATAATTAATTTTAAGTGACACAAGGGAAATATATATATATTTATTTATTTATACGGATACAAATACTTGGCCGGCTCATAATATGTTAATGCAGTTTTCAGCAACAGACAGTATTATATAAATATTCTGTAGTGAGATCCATGTTCGTTTTTAATTTATAATCTGTATTGTACACTAAAATGAAAATAAAATACAATGTTTCATAATTTAATTGAAGATATGATAATATCAATAAATTAATCGATTTCAATGAAATGCCTATTTTATAATGCATATCTAACACATTATATCTATAAATAAAACTGGAGTGTCTGTTTGTAATATTGAAGTAACCGTTTTTTACTACATGCATATGAATATAAATACGGTACATACACCAAAATAACATTTTTTTTAATTTTTGTCTATCTAATTTCTGAAATGGCTGGACCTATTTTGACGAGACTTTTTTTAGCAGGTAGCTGATGTAATAAGGAGTAATTTAGGCTACTTTCATTTTAGAAAAAAATACTTAAATTCCACGCGGACGAAGTCGCGAGTACGGCTAGTTTATTGTAAGTTTATTAGTATACGGCAGTTTGAATTATATGAATCTATTTAATTGAATTAGGTGTTATTTTGCGGAAGTCCATTTCACTACTTAATAGATTTATATTATTTTGTTTAATTCCGCTACAATTGGCATGTGTGAGAACACAAATATTCGGTGTGGAAACTTGACTACCGTTACGACCTTCTCTAATGACGAATAATCTCTGAACGAGGCATCATCAGGCGTTGAACAGATCGGGTACAGCTCGGAAGCCTATTGTTGACTCATCGGCGACCAAACCGCGCGAATCGCGCTGATGATGCCTCGTTCAGACGAAACACGTGTCGCGATATGGGTGTAGACTCAATAACGGTCGGAATTTGATCACCATTAGAGAAGGTCGTAACGGTAGACAAGTTTCCACAACGAATATTTACGGTATCACACATGCTAATTGTAGTGGAATTAAACAAAATAACATAAATCAATTGAGTAGTTATCTGAATCTGTTGACTCGCCGTTCGCCGTTGGCTGCAGTTTAAATTTGTAATACTGGAAAGTGACATCTATGTTACACTATAATTTCACAAGTCTATATAGACAGTATTATGTCTGTTACATGATAATCTTATATATAAAATTCTCGTGTCACAGTTTTCGTTCCCATACTCCTAGGAAAGGGCGTGACCGATTCTCATGAAAATTTGTGAGCGTATTGAGTAGGTCTGAAAATCGGCCAACATCTATTTTTCATACCCCTAAATGTTAGGGGTAGTCCACCCCTAATTTTTTTTTTTATTTTAAGCCAAAACAACGTTTGCTGGGACAGCTAGTGTACTATAATAATGTGGTATCCTTAATTCTGTTCAAGTATATAGGCTACAACTTACCATTAGTTATCCAGTAACAGCTGTAGCTTATTTCCTATTATAGTTATTTTTAAACTTTCGTGTTTAATATACATTACTTATATTATTAACCGGGTCTTACACGAATAATTTTATGGCAAATAAAGGTATTTACCTCTCTCGTTTCGACTTGGTTGCAGCACTACATTTGACATAAAATTATTCGTGTTAAGATCCGTTAATATAAATTATTTCCTATTCGAATTATTTAGAAAGAAATATGGCTTGGATTGAAATCGGGTTCCAGAGTAGATCTACTAGGCGCAATGTCACAATTCCTTAATGATATGAGAAAAAGACAAGTTTAGTTAATGTCTATTTTTAGGAGAATAGTCCTTTATGTGGGGTTAAAAGTCTCTTCTTCTACCCAAACTAGTTTAAAAAATCTGACAATTAATATAATCATAGTTTATAATTTAGAAACTCAAGAATGTGAGACAAAATATAACAGGTTTAATTTTGTCTACCAACTTAACTAAGGTCGAAAACATACATATTCATCTGCGTACTACCTCTACAGAGGGACTCTCTCGTTCTCTTCCTCTATCTCTCTCTGTCTCGCATATTTTGGAGGTGAGCTTTAGTAATATAATTACAGTGTAAAGAGGTACTTTAGTATACCAGAATAATTGCTATTCCAAAAAGTATCCCATAACGTGATTCTGTAGCTTCGTGGTTGTGCTGTTCATGTATGTACATAGGAGGCAGTTGATCCCTTCCACCAAATAGATCGTCAGTTGCTTTAATTTGCGTAAATTTTATAATCATGTTATATATCTGTGTTTTTCTTATGGATGATAATGGAATGGTGCACCCACCTCCGCTAACGGTTTGCACTGGCGGGGCGCCAGTGGAGGATAAGATGAGCATGAGGTCAGGTCATGCTAAATTCACAATGAATTTATCACGATGGTTTCCTGGGGGAACCACGTGGGGTCAACCTGAAATGGTACATTGTTAGCAATGGGATTATCAGTCCACATTACTAAGAATCCCCCTGTATTGGTGTGTTTTTGTTTCCTGTGACTTGATCACAAGTTTTAGATTAATTATTAATTTTAAGACTGTTATTCTATTTTCGCAATAAGTTAGCATTATAATTTTGCATAGATTATGACATTAAAATATTGCATGGAGTATTTTGTTTCAATTGTAAATTCATTATATGAATTCACGCCAAACTATAAAAAATAAAATCCATAAATATACTGTTTTACTGACAATTTTGTTTTGTATTATTTTATTTATACTCTTACAACAACCCGTCCAATTCAAATAGAGATCGAAATTTCGACGACCTGAGCCGAGGTTCGAACCCTCAGTGGTGCCTAAGTTGGCCTTCCGCTGCGCCATAAGAGTCCTTCCGCGGGTTTGGAGTGCTATCTGCACTCGGCCCTTATCGTTCGGTCAAGCTGTAAAGGCCAGCTACGGCCAACAACATTAGAGTAATCCAAAAAAAAAACTTGCAACAAATATAGAACATAAAATTAAAATAGTAAGTCTCGCTAAACAATCTCTTTCAGACTGTGTGAATAGAGAAAATAAAGATAAGAAAAGGGTGTATTATGTATGTTTTAATAACTTGTATTTGCGAGCCCATCATACACCATCTACATATAGATTTTTATAAGCCAATAGTCTTATGTAGAATCACGTCTATGTTTCAATATGTTTAAAATGAGTAACAATTGGAACTGATTATTGTATGATAGTATGATACACTCTAAATCACTCTAAATAGTGTTTCCCAACGTGGGGCCCACGCCGCACAAGGAGGCAATTCGAAAATGGACTATTAAAATTATATAGAATGTAAATGTAAATTTTCCATTGTTTTGTGAATTGACTTACTCTTTCATTAACAATTTCCTACTGATTTCTTCCTAAGTCCTATTATTTAAGTTGTTAAGTCAACAATTTTTTTTTACTTGTGGATTGTGGACCCAGTGCTTCTGGACGTGGACACAGATATATGAATTAAATATATCTACGTTTATAAGTCTAACATAGTTTTTAAGTTTTTTTTTTTTTTACTAACAATATGGATGTAATCCGTTAAAATTAAAATAAATAAATAAATTATGTACATGGGGGCTTTAGCTTTAAGCTTTTAGAAACGTTGGGAAACACTGGTCTAAAGACCTCACTACTTCATGATCAATTCTTATTGATTCTCTTATATGGAAATATGATTTGTATTTTGCCATGGAGAATTTAAGTTGGAAGAATAAAAAAATACATAACATATCTAAACAAAACCTTTATTGCTAACCACCACTGTATCCTTACATAACTTACTTCCATACAATCTGTGGGAATCGAACGAGTGTCCCAGAACATCGGTAAAAGATCTTAAAGCCAGTGTGTGTAAATGCGTGTTTTTACGGATAAAGTGCGAACACTCGTTTGGGAATGTCGGCACATTGCGTACATACTATTGATTACATAAAGGCAGTAATAAATATTGAATTAACAGATCAAAACCTTCAAAATTTCAATATATTGGTTTTAGATCTTAAATCTGATGAAAAATTAAATACAATATATTAGTGTTTAAAAATAAACGATTAAAGTGGGGCTGAACAATTTTGAATAATGCTTTATTCCAAAGCTGCAGCACCAGAAATAATCTCGATAAGTTCTCTGGTGATGACGGCCTGCCGAGTCCTGTTGAACGTGAGGGTCAGTTTGTCAATCATCTCTCCGGCGTTCTTGGAGGCATTGTCCATAGCAGTCATACGGGCAGACTGTTCAGAGCAGGCACCCTCTTTGAGAGCGTAGAACAGCATGGATGCAAGAGAGAATTCCATGTAGGATTGAATGACATCGGAGTCCAAAGAGTCGTAAGTGGCTAACTTAGGTGCGGACTGAAATGAAATAAAAGCTGGCTGTAAAGTTACTGTTGCTATGTTATGTATATATTTTACATGCGATAGGTAGGGTAGGAAAAGAAATAATTAATACAAAAACCTTATGTTCATAAGCAACTAAAATGTTCTACATGAGTGATTTTTGACTTGATTGCATATGTAGTAATCTTAGTTCTTTAAAATAAAAAGCTGACTAAATATAATAAAAAAATCTTTCAAATAAAAAAATACTAAAAAACATATGAATTGATTCTTCTTCTCAAGATTACTGAAGAAGATACTTTATGTTCAAGGAGAGAGAATAAAGGATTAGTTATGGCTGATATTTAAAAAGATATGCGAAGATCTTTACTAAATATATTTGGCACAAAAAACGGAAGCTGGTTAATCATAGATTTGAGGAAAACGAAGTGATAAAATATTAGGGTAATTTCTCTGCTATATTTTAAGTGACTCTTAACAAAATATTTTATATGATAACCAACGTTCCCAATATACTAAATTTTATATGTGAATAGGAAATAATTCATTCTAAAATGATATGAGAAGTTCTCCCACAAGGTTTTATATTAGGTCCCACTTTTATACATGTACCTTTAGATTTAAGATTAATGTTGTTTTTTATGTAAATATTCACCTGGACAGACTGCTGGCTGAAGAGTGGCAGATCAGACTGCTCATACGACACGACGGACCTGAACTTGTTGAAGATAATCTTGCCAAAGCCAAATTCGTAGCCAGATGTCAAGATAGCGGAGGCAATCTTCGCGGCATCAGTGAAAGTCGGCGGCAGACGGCCAATCTGTAAATGAGCATGATTACAATAATTACTGACTGCCCCGATGCCTCGATGGCCTGGCTATTTAGCACACTGCCTCACGATGTTACGGGTTCGATTACTCGCAAGGTTCAAACATTTGTATTCCTTAGAATCATTGTTTGTATTGGTCTGGGTATTTTCTAGTATGTATTTAGAAAAAAAAATATCCATATCAGTTGTCTAGCTCGGCTTATTGTAGGACTAGATGGCGCTGTATTAATTATCCAGGGTTATTTATTTATTTATTTATGTGATTTTTTATCATTAATGCATAAATTTGTAAGGAAATATATTTTTTAATGTTATTGTTTTTTTATGGTTCGTAATTAAAAATACCCTATATAGATAGATAAATTTTCAACCTTCATCATCTACCTCTATTTTAATTTATATTGCAAAACGTTTGCAAAGTCAGCTAGTGCTATAATATAATAATGATACTCACCTCGTTAGCTACACAGATGATGTGTTTTCCATAGAGCCGCTGCAGGATAGCCCTCGACTTGTCTCCCACACAAATAACCTTGATGTTCTCCGCGCCGGGCTCGCTCAGCCGGTTCCTGATCACCTTGGAGACACCAGTGTGAACAGCACCACACAGACCTGTCGCAAATATTATTTATTTATTATAGGAAAACCAGGGGTACTCTACATACATGTTGACAATTTATAAAATATAACTTTCACAAATAACAGAATAATATTTGAGACAGATTGAAACAGATTTGAGTTATTTGTATGAGGAAACAGTTGAAAAATAAATTTTACCTCTGTCTGAGGTCATTGCAATATACAATTGCTTCTTCTCATCTTCTGGAGGAGCGACCTGTTAAAAAGAAAATCAAATTAGTAATTACAGTGGGGAGGATGCAATGTCAGTTTGATCTCCACAGTTGTCCCTTGAAACTATCGTGGTAAATTGCTGGTGAATTTGCCACGATGGGCTACCTGACCGTACCTCATGTTCATGTTATCATCCTCCACTGGTGCCCCACCAACGTAAACCGTTAGCGCAGACGGAAGCACCATTCCATTATCCATTAAAGAAAGGAATTACTGTACAGTTACTGTACTATACATTCTACCAGTTAGCAACCATTCTATTTTCCAGGACATGTCTTGGTTTTTGGGTTCCGGGTTTATATTCTCCTGGGATGAATATGAATAGTAATGAATAGAGTAATAAATTCGAATTCGATACATATTTTAATGTAGGATATAGTTTATAATGCAGGATTCTGGGTTTTAATTTTATATAAGACATAATTGTGGTTAAAAGCTAATAATACAACATTTTAAGAACAAGTATAAAGCTTTCGTATGTCTGTCACACTAGTATTAACTGTCAAACTGCTTGTTACAGCAACTTTTCGGAATGAGTGGTAGATTCACAGAAAGATAACTATGACTATTCAAAAGCGCTTAAATTAAGTTTATTTGATTAAAAGATCTATTCTATTCTATTGTTTTGGTTGAAGTGTGAAATATGAGGAGTAAAATAGTAGGGTGTGCAGGCATATACACAAACACAATTAACGAGTGCTTGACATAAAAAATATTACCTCTGCTCTCTCGTAGAACAAAGCAGCACCTTCTCCATATGGGCGAGCTGCTTTCAGATCACGCTCAGCACGAGTGTACCTTAGCAACAATATCAGTATAATTAAAAAAAAAGCATTTCATTTTGAGAAGAAAACAAAGTTTATAAGTATTTTTTATTATGTCTGTCTGTCATATCAAATGAAAGTCTAATTTATGGATTGGTTACCCATCTCAGGGTAAGGCAAAAGGACTCAGCCCATACAAACATAGTCTTTGGTAGTATAAAGAAATAGTCAATTAATTTAAAAGAGATAACAATACTAACACAGACTTGAAAACCTACAGTTCCAAATTTAAATTACTTAAGAACAGGCTGTATGGTTGATAGCTTTGCCAGTCTGTACAGTGAATTGGAAAAAGCAACACCTATATGAGCTACAATGCATATCACAGACCTATACTACTTACAAAAACTTGACTGAAATGACCTATTTAAATAAATTATTGTACAATTTGACAACACAATAATATTATATGTTAAAAACAGTAAGTTTAATCATTTTACCACATTATTAATATAAAAATATATAATTAATTAATAACTCATGCATTTTCAATAAGATCTCCAATATCTGCATGCACTTGCATTATAGCAAGATATTCTCCAATTTTATGTATTACCTTACAGTGAATTCTTCTGTTCTATATAATTAATGATTTTTTAATTAAATAAACCTATAAGTTTCGTTTTTTAAAATCAATTTTATAAGTTTATCGACAGATGAACATATTGTTGACCCCTAGAAACCATTATGATGAATTCCTGGTAAATTCACCATGATGAGGTAACTGAACATGGTCCTTCTATAATCCCCCACGGATGCTATACAGGTGTATACAGTTTGGACAGCAGGTACACCATTCCATTAAAAGATCATTGGTTGACCTACCTTACTTTTTCTATATATAATAACATGTTTTGAAATTATATGTATTATAAATTGAATGCTTACTTGGCAGCTGACACCATCTTCATGGATTGGGTGATCTTCTGAATATTCTTTACGGACTTGAGACGAATAGAAATGGACTTTAGAGTGGCCATATTCCTGTTTTGCTGCAGGTTGACCACAGCGGTCACCTGGGTGGCGGCTGGCGCGACGCGACCCAACATTTTCGCGGGTCTATAAATTAAAAAAAAGAATTATTGAATAGAAAAATAAAAGATAACACAGGTTATGACCAAGGAGTTTGTAGTTATGTAAGAACTTGAAAATTCCACAGTAGTATGCAATACCGGCTGAAATACACTCCTATATCGTTACAAATGGCTTGAAAAGTCGATTTAATTGTGTAAATAGTTTCAGTTATAATTAATTATTACAAAATACTAACTTTTATTGGATTATTTGGTCAAGATCACCCAGCAGACATAAAATGTCGCTGGTAGAAAACGTCTGGCCGGGGATGTCAGCTATAAAAATTACTAATAAAAAGTATTGAACGCATCCACTACAGTGCCAATAAATGAAATTACATATGTTCACATTATAAAATTAAATATTTAACTTAATATTAATATTACTTAGAAATATATTTCCGAAATGTCAAATATCTAGTTATCTAATATGTTGTATTGTATTATGTGTTGTATTGAATATGTATTACAATTGTAATGAACCGTGAAAAAACATTAAATATTAAACAAAACTAAGAATTCCACCTAAGAACATATTTTTATTGTAGTTGGGATACTTATATTTCTTTTTATAAAAAAATAAAACATATTTATTATGTAAAAGCAGTACATAGCAGTAGATAATGATTAATAATAAAACTGAACGGAAACCGTTTTTAATGATGAAAAGTATAACTGATCTAATTTGATTGACTTCATTATACTATTTTTTTACTCCTTAACAACAAACCTAAATAACAATTATTGTTCCTATGTCGAAGTAAATTAGTTATTTACGAACGTACATTTTAAAGGATCGCTATCAGTCTTGTTAGAAAACTCAACTGATAAGAATGACATACAGATCTTGACTGAGTGGACTGACTTATAACTCATCTACTCATTAAAAATAATCAGTTTTCTTTCAATTTCTTTTTTTATTATACCTATTCGTTTGTAAATAAGTATTTGTATTAAATATAGATGCTCTTTAATTAATATAAAAAAGTTTACTATTTCAGTAAGTATTACTTTTTGTGTTATAAAATGTAATTATTTGAGTTTGAATTAGTAATTTCAGTACTTCTGAAGAAAGACAACAACGATCCTTTTATTTTTTTTATGATCTGTATATATGATATATATTTACAGTCATGCCTACACCAGAGAAGAATATTCTGAGCAACCCAGAACAAATCCAAGAACAGCCTATGCGGGAAATAACACAAACTGATCATCTGAACAAGAAACTTTTAACTTCCTTGTTTAACCGAATGAATGAAGTTGATGATAGTGGTGGAAACTCATTACTGGCCAAGATGTTGGAGCCAGGGCCAGAAGAAGCAGAATGGGAAGATGAGCAGGAAGAAAAATCACAGAAGTAATTATTTTATAAGTTTATTGTAACAATGTAGTAATTTTAGGTCCTTTAGAGTTTATGTATATAACTACATATTCTGTAACTAACAATAATATGGTACTGGCCACTTAGACAGTATTGGTTGCATGTAATGTTTTTTATCATCATTGTCTATGGTCTAACCTAATTAAAAAAAAGACTATATAACTGAAAACAGAACTAAAAATATGGTAATGACAGAAAAAAAACATGCTAGATGGCTTAACTTACATATGTTTATGTTAATTTAAATGGTAATTTATTACTAATGTAATAAAGTGAATAACAATGATATAGACAAAAATATTAATATTATGATAGAATAAAACTAATTTGTTGTTAATAATTTCATACACAGTTTAGTTTACAGGTCTACTGCAAACTTGTTTTTATGCCCCAACTTGAGTCAGAGAAAGGCTACCCTACTAGTTTAACTTACCTTTACCTATAAGCCTATGGTATAAAGGCAAACTAAGAAAAAAAAATTATGTAAAATTAAAAATTGTGTAATCTGTCTGCAGTATATGTATATTGCACTGACATTTAACTGCCAATGCATAGGGATATTCATTCTATAAACCAAAAAGTTTAGAGTTTACTACTTCCATTATAATAATATATACATAATTTTATATAATAGTATGTTAGATACCCAAGGTAAAAAAATAATTTTTGTGTTAAAATATATAAGAAGTATTTACAAATGTCCATTCATTGTAATAAACAACTAAAGATTTACTGAAATTCCCATCATATGTAATGTAACATTCAATTAAAAATTATTTAATTTCAATTGCATAAAATATTATGTTGTAATATTTAATTGTAAATTATATTTTTATACAAGATATTTTATATTTTATTGTTCTCTTAAGTTTTGAAAATATTAGTATGCTCAAACTCTGTGGCCAGAAAAAGATGATCAAACATTATGGCTAGAAAAAGAGACTAGTGATTTTTTACTATCTATATAACAGGCACATCATAATTAAGTTTGAGTATGTTAAAAACCCCATAGGGGAGAAAGTCTTTCAAAATATAACTGCCGACCAACAGAGGGTGGTTTAAAATCCCCTCAGTATTTCACTTATCACAGCAACGACTGGGTCACACTTCCATGGTCACCACCAATATGGTAATTTCTTTACGTCAAACTTGAGAACATTAAAACCTCATCTACATAAATCCTATATTAATCATTTATTATCCCAGTATTAGATAATAACTTTTTATTTATAGCTTTTATTCTAATATGTAACTTTTTTAAGCGATCTAAAAAAACAAGAGATGGTTCTCATTATGTTGTATTTTTTTATTTTTAAAACAGGACTTCAGTTTGGTTCCACTTTTAGTGTTTGCAGTCGGTTATTTACATTTCTCTGCTTCGATTTATCAGCTTGTCCTAAAACATAGGCCTAGGGTCTAGGTAGCGAACTTTGAATAAGAGCGAGCACAATACAAGGACGACCTGCGTCAAAACCCCCCAATAAAAAAAAAACAGGCCTCCTCTAATAAACTTCAGCTCCTCTGTCCACCGCGTTCCTTCTCCATATTAAACCACTGCTCTTATATCAATTAAAGAATAAAGCAAGGAATAAATGAAACTCTCACAAACAGTAACTTGAATAATATTTTTATTATGTACTACAAGAGTTTATAATGAGGAATGTTATTATTTACATAGCATTTGCAACTCCAATTATTTCATATGTTGAACATTTATATTACAGATTTATGGATAACTATTCTATTTAGCCACGCAACTTTAATACTGAACAGAATATGTTGCGTTCGTTTTGTTCATTAACAAAATGAAGTAACTTCGATATTTTCGCCTTATTGCATTCTAACAAACTATAATGGCGTCTTATTAATAAATAACATATATAAATAGGACATAATTATCCTAATATTAACAACCTGCATCATATTTATTTAACACACAAAGAAAAAATATTTAATATGTCATACATTTTATAACATCTATTCTGTACATGAAAATATGTGATTATTTTACATGGATAAGTTATACATTTGTGTAATGTCAGCAGATATGTGAAATAAAATAATTGTACAATTTAATTGCGACTACAGCGGACCCGGTGGGGTCTGGTTGGAGCTGATGTTGGCTGCGCAATCTGGTAACAGCACCTACAATAAGATTTTTTTAATTTTTTTTCAACACACTTTCTTGTAAAATGGATCTAATTTCATCGATTTTCGATACCATCGATTCGATGTCAAATCTACTCTACTCACTGATCTATAATAGTTAATAATCATCTGACAATTCTTTTGTGGACTCCCGCGAGTTCGGCTCCAATGTATAATCAACTTTATACCATTTCTATGATGGAAAAAATGAATAAATAAATAAATAAATGTAAGAAGAAGGTACATTAATGTTGTCTTACATGATTAAAAAAAAATTTAAATGGCAAAGAAGATGAAGAAAGTAAGACAGAAGAAAGTTAATGATTATTGTTTACCATCACGTGTGTTCATGCAGTATGATCGTTTGTATCGGTCTGGGTGTTTTCTAATTAATAATCATGTATATGTTTTATCTAGTACACAAAAAAGCTTTAGCTAAATAGTGATGGCGCTGTGTGAATGAATATATTATTATTATAACTTCACTGCACGCGTGTTTTATGGGCTTGTCTTGTCTAGATCCACTTTACGAGCCAGCGTGTTGAAAACATATATAATATAATAAATAAATAATAATTAATAACCAAATCGTTACCTAAATGAACACGGCGATCTCCATACAATTAGGCGTTCTTCTCAATCATGTCGATGTTAATCTTATAAAACACATACGGGAAGTACTCCGAAGAACCGAACCCGAGACCGGCCAGCTCCGCGCTCTGTAACAATAATCATTATATTAATACATGAAGTGAAAACTTTGACCGCATTTTAAGAATATTGCGTATGAAATTTTAAGCATTTATAGTTTAAGTAGAGAAATGTATTTTTTTAATTAGGCATAAAAATTCGTAAAAAAAAATTATACATGGTGTGTAATTTTTTTGGTCACACGCAGGTATATATACTATTTTGTTTATTGTTAAAATCTGTGGTCAAATTGGAATATATTGTTTGTCTTTAATATTCTTTGTCTATAGTCTTACTGAACGTTAAATTAATTATGATCGAATTTCGACCACTCGGCGACCATTACATATATCTAATATACATTGGAAGTGAGGGTCTGAAGGTAGTAACATCCTGCAGCACGTCGGCTTGTCTATCTAACTTATATATAAAATTCTCGTGTCACAGTTTTCGTTCCCATACTCCTCCGAAACGGCTTGACCGATTCTCATGAAATTTTGTGAGCGTATTGAGTAAGTCTGAGAATCGGCCAACATCTATTTTTCATCCCCTAAATGTTAGGGGTAGTCCACCCCTAATTTATTTTTTATTTTTTAGACAAAATTTTTAGTTTCTATTTTTTTATGATACAACATACAAAAATACATACAATCCTAAATTTTCACCCTTATTTTTTTATAGCGTTATTAATGTATATGGCAAAACAACGTTTCCCGGGACAGCTAGTGTATCTATATACATATGTACTCACGTCCTGCGCGGCGTTGCCGTGGTGCTGCGCGGAGTGGTCGAGGTGCGCGTACAGTTGCTGCAGCACGTCGCGCAGCTTCTTGGTGCTCTTGCGGGCCGGTACCATCACCACAGCTTGGAAGTTCACGGGCAGGCCGTATCTGAAATATTTCATATAATATCCAAATGGCAAACAAGATGGCGGCTCGCCTGATGGTAAGCGGTAACCATCGCTTGGTAGGCCGTATCTGAAATATCTTATGTGGTTGTGTGAATGTTGGATAAAAAAGGAATCGAACAAAGCCTGATGGTGAATGATAGCCATCGCCTGGTAGGCCGCATTTTCAATATATTGTTGTATGGAGAATGTTGGGTAAAAAAGGGAATTTTAGGCCAAGCTTGCTTTGTATCGTCTCTGTGTGTAGATAGAATACACCTAGTCGTTTTCTTTTAAATATCCAACGTTTTGGTAATGTGCACTAAATGATGTTCTAAATGAAATTGCGCTGGTCCACTCCGCCGATCAATCCCCCGTCGTCGTCGAGGTTCGAATCCCTAGCGGTGCCCTCAGACTAAAATCGTATCCGTCAGGCGGGTGTTGGCCTTCAGCCACTCCTTAAGTCCTTTGTTTTGGAGTGATATCTGCACTAGTCCCCTAACGGTTGACGACAGCGGGGCACCAATGGAGGATGATAAGATAAACTTGAGGTCGGGTCAGCTGGCCCATTGTGGAAAATTCACCAGGAATTTCTCACGATGGTTTCCCGGAGCAACAATCTGACATAGAAATATAGACAAGATCTAATTTGTTTTTCTTTACAAATAGTAAACTGAATTACCTTAGAACGGATTCCACGAACACACGCAGCGCCTTCACGTGTATCCAGGCGCAGAAGCATTCGGAGAAGTTCACCTTCAACCATCGCACCAGTGGACCCTGAAAACGAAAAACAATTATTTTAAATTTCTTACAAAAACAAGACCAACTTTTTAGCACTCCATCGCCTCCTCAATGGATTGATAGATTGATCGTGCAATTCAAACGGGGATCGAAATTACGACGGCCTGAGAAGAGGTTCGAATCCCTAGCAGTGCCCTTAGACTAAAGTCGTATCCGTTAGGCGGGAGTTGGCCTTCAGCTGCTCCGTAAGTCCTTCCTTTGGTTTGGAGTGTCAGCTGCACTCGCCCCCTATCGTCCGGTGATGCTGTTAAGGCCAGCTGAGGCCAACAGCATTAGAGTAGTCCGAAAAAAAAACCATTCCATGTATTAACGGTGCAGTGCCGGGTCCATCGTGTGGCAGAGAGGGAAACGTCGAGCAGTTCCCGGGGCTTGTGACCCGGGTGTAGGTTTAAGGCTCCTTGCCGACGTAAATAATGGCAAGACCTAGGATATAGTTTGCTTACCCAGAAGAAATCTATTCACCATAGACTTGAACAATCCAGGTCTGTATTTCCCCGGAAACACGGAAGCTGGAAGTGTGTTCCACTCTAAGAAATTAATAATGAAATATACTCACAAATTGCTTCTTCTTGTCGGTGACGAGTTTGGTGATCTCGTTCTTGCCGGCGACGAGATCCGCCTCGTTGTACGAGAACTCGCGTACGACGAACTTACGCTCGCGGGCATGCAGTTTGAACTCGTCGGCTACCTGTACCCACACAATATAATAATAATCTCGGGACAATTCATAGAGCGCCATCTAGTCCCAAGTTAAGCTAGCTAAAGCTTGTGTTATGGGTACTAGATGACTGATAAATACATCGATTTTTTTCATAAATACATTTTTTTTATACCACGTAAGTGGCAAACAAGCATACGGCCCCTCTGATGGTAAATGGTTACTGTAGCCTATGGACGCCTGCAACACCAGGGGTGTCACATGCGTGTAGCCGACCCTTAAGAAACCTTAATATACCCTTCTTGAAAAAACCCATGCTGTAGTCTCTCGAGAAAACCTCGGCAGGTAGGTCTTTCCACAATCTAAGTCTACTCGGGAGAAAGCTCCTCTGAAACCGCACTGTCCGAGACCACTTAGGTTCCAGCGTGTGGGGATGAATTCCCTGTCGAAGGCGAGCGGTGCGATGGTAAAAGGTAGCCGTAAGTATCATGTCAAACAATTCATCAGAACATAGTCCGTTGTATATTCGGTAGAACACAAAAAGCGATGCGAAGTCTCGTCTCGCTAAGTGTAAAGAATTCCTAATAAAAGGTCAACAAATACGATTCAGATAGTATATATCTTAATTATATTTGTAGAGTATATATTATTTCGACGAATTCAGTGGTCTAGCAGTTTAGCACACCGCTTTGCTTCCAATGGTCGAGGGTTCGATTCCTCGCATGGTGCATACATTTATGAGTATAACTGATACAATCAATCATACTCATATGATGTACAGACAGTGGTGCGTGACTACTCATAACATCTGGGTGTTATCTATTTATATTATGTATGTATTTACAAAAATATATATATAAGTATTTTTATCAGTACTCATAACACAAGTACTGCTCACCTTGGGACTAGATGGCGCTGTGTTAATAGTTCAAGGTTCATTTATTTATTTATGTATATATACCAAGCCACTACAGCTGCTTACCTTTTTGAAGAGCGTGACAGTGTACAGTCCGTAGTCGTTGTCTTGATGTATGAGCTGCGTGGAGCGGGGCACGATCATGTCTGTTATCTTCTCATAATTGGCATTCCAATCGTTGAACATTGATCTGTACAACACACATACGGACAAAATTATAAAAATGTTATATACGTTATAGATTTAACTTATTGCTGAAAAGGAGTACATCTTTAAATATATCTATATCTATAAATAAAAGTGGAGTGTCAGTGTGTAATATTGAAATAAACGTTTTTTACTACATACGGAATATGAATACGGTACATACACCAAAATAACAATTTTTACAATTTTTGTCTGTCTGTCTATTTCTCTGTTTGTTCCCGTTAATCTCTAAAATGGCTGGACCGATTTTGATGGGACTTTTTTTGGCAGGTAACTAGGATCTAATAATGAGTAACTTAGGCTACTTTTATTTTAGAAAAATAAAGTTAAATTCCACGCGCACGAAGTCGCGGGAACAGCTAGTATATTATATGTATATATATTTTTCCCACGTGTCACTTAAAATTACTTAATTTAAACGGGTACTAATACCTTCTACGCTTTTAAACGGCTATGTTCTGAATGAGTTCTAGTACCTTATAAGTGGCAATACGACTATAAGTGGCAATGCTCTGAACGGGTACAAATGCCTGCCCCCCCTCATAATGTGTTAATATAATACTTACTTAGGCACAATAACGAGCAGAGTGGTGAGGTACTCGCTGTCCAGTATGAAGTGCTCCTTCTTCACCAGGTCTGCTAAGTTGCGAGTGAGCAGGCTTCCGCTGGAATAAAGAGATATCATCTAAAAATCGGTCCTAAATTATGTAATAATATTATTAATAATTCCCAATGTTAACAAATATTTATGGGTTTATTATTGTCTATGGACTATTTAGTGGAGTTTACGTTTTAAATAAATACTCACAGATTATTTGACTGTAACCTATAAATATCCGTATTTTTTTTTATAATAGTGGCAAGAGATATCAAAATCCCGGGCTTAAATTATGTAATATTAACAGTTCCCAATTTTAATTAAAATTTGAGGATTTTACTATTGTCTATAGACTATTTGAGAGTTTATATTTTAATTAAACATCCACACATTATTTAACTCATTCATTCATAATTTGAGAGCCACGCTCTTGTCTGTGGAGTTTCATAGATTATTTGACTGTAACCTATAAATATCCGTAATTTTTTTTAAAAGTGGCAAGAGATATGATAGACTACTACTAGACTAGACTGATAAAGAAACTGTTAATATTACATAATTTAAGCCCGGGCTTAAATTATGTAATATTAACAGTTCCCAATTTTAATTAAAATTTGAGTGTTTTACTATTGTCTGTGAACTATTTGAGAGTTTATATTTTAATTAAACATCCACACATTATTACTCATTCATTCATAATTGAAGAGCCACGCTCTTGTCTGTGGAGCTCTTGCCACTTTCCATGATCTTCCATCGTGCTCTTTAGATGTTGATACGACACGGCTCCAATTCTGTCTTTAATTTGCTTGATGTAGCTCTGCCTTGGTCTACCCCTCGCACTCTTTCCTTCTATCTTTCCCTCAATAATAATTTTCATAAAGTCATCGTACCGTATCAAGTGTCCTAAAATTGTCAGTCGTCTATTTTCTATGATATTCAATATTTGTGTAATACTTTTTCATTTCTTACATTATTATTTACTATATTATTAATTCCTCCAGATTTTGTTTGTTTCGGACTAATCTAATACTGTTGGCCGCAGCTGGCCTTTACAGCTTTACCGGACGATAGGGCGCGAGTGCAGATGGCACTTCAAACCCGTGGAAGGACTTATAGACCGGCTGAAGGCCAACTCCCGCCTGACGGATACGACTTTATTCTGAGGGCACCGTTAGGGGTTCGAACTTCGGCTCAGGCTTTCGTAATTTCTATCCCCGTTTAAATTGGACTGGGGATCGATCGGAGGAATGGAGTGCTAAGAAGTTAGTCTCGTTTTGTAACAGTTGGAGATACATACATCTGTTTCTTTTCCAAATTCTGTAGATTGCCCTTGAGAGCGTTGTAGGCAGAGGACTTCACTTTAAGATCGGCGTCAATCTGACCCAACTGTAATAAATAATTACATTTAATTATTAACTTAGAATAGTATAGAATAAAATTTATAACTTTAATTATTAAATTACAGTAGAATAACATTGGGGGAAGGGGATTGCTAGCAATGTACCATGTTAGGTTGACCTCCACGCGGTACCACCTGGAATCCATCATGATAAATTCTTGGTGAATTTGTTGCGATGGCTAGCTGACCTGACCTCATTGTTCATCTTATCTTCCTCCACTGGTGCCCCGCCAGCGTATACCGTTAGCGCAGGCGGATGCACCATTCCATTATAATCCATTAAAAAAAATAGGCTCACAGTTGGATATATATAAATTGTAATAAAAATACTTTAAATTGGAGATAAAATCATTATATAAACAAAGAATAAGAAAAAGCAAATTAAAACGAATGACAAAATAATAATAACAAAATAAAATGCATTTATTTAATTACTACATTTGACTGCATTATATTTGTATAGGTAAGGCTATAAATTCTATAAAGGAAGGTTTTCTCCTGAGACTATACTATATATACTATTAGTTTAAACTCTGTTATATTATAATAAACGCCAATTAAATAATATTACTGATATTGAAACCTTCAAGAAAAGAGCTTATTCCTTTTTAAAAGGCCAACAGCGTACTTGCAATTCCCCTGGTGTTGCGGGTGCTCATGGGCGGCGGAAATCACTTACCATCAGGTGAGCCGCATGCTCGTTTGTCCCCTGTGTTATAATAAAAAAATACAACGTACCTGTTTACTAATAATATCAGCGATGTTACGGAGGCTCTGCTTGATTGGGTATTTAGCCATGTCCCATTGGAAACGGGTCAGATAAGTGGGCAGGTCACCTGAAACACAAGAAATAGAAATAGAAATAATGAAACAGAAATATAAATAATCTTTATTCAAATAAACATAATACAAGCACTTTTGAATAGTCATATTGTTATTTCTACCACTCATTCGGAACGCAGACTCATCATAAGAAGAACGAGTATGAGACTTGTGTGTTTCAAGTTTGTAACACCAAGAAGAAAGAAACAAGCAAGAAACTTGTTTTAAGTTTGTCACACTTGCTCACTTCTGTCACTTCCGATTTCAGAGTAACACACTTGATTTCGTACTACATATAAACCGCAGAAATTAATTAAACAACTTCTATGGAATAATGTATTATAAAACTGATTACAATTGAATGTGATTGCAATTTGATTTGCACATTGTGTGCAATTGATGCAACTTGAAAGATATGATAGCTTACATCTCAATTTATAGTCGCAATATTCTTTTATTCAAGAACCATAGCCAGAGCAACGCGTGGCCAAAAGAAGGTCAGAAAAATGTAATTTTTATTACTCACAATTGCAATTATTAATAACTTCGTTACATAATTAGATCCCTAATTTCTGCTATGTTTGACTTTTTTCCAGACTATTCTAATGTTGACCGCAGCTGGCCTTCACAGCTTAACCGGACTATAGAGGGCGAGTGCAGATGGCATTCCAAACATGACTTATTTCTAATGATGTTGGCCCTTACAGCTTCACCAAAACACAGCAGCCGAGTACAGATGTAGCTAATTTCAAACCCGCGGAAGGACTTATGGAGCGGCTGAAGGCCAAGTCCTGCCTGACGGATACGACTTATATATTTATTACTAGCTGCACACGCGACTTCGTCCGCGTAAAATGACGATACTTCCATAGAACCTTTCATATTAATTAATTTGGCCGTCCAATTGACTTAACTGAACTTTCTTTGTCTTTTACAAAACCCAACACCGACCGTCAGAACGTAATTAAGTAGTCAACAGAAATTTTAATTTAACTTTTAATTATTTATATTAACTACTCGATTGCAATTCATACACACGTTATTCCATTTGGTCAATTAATTTCTACGAGTCTTAAAGGTACTATGATATGTACGTATGTCATAATTAACGTTTAATATATATATTATTTAATTTAAACGTACATGTCAAAGGAAATAATTTAAAATGAAAATCCAATTCCAAAACACTTGGCCGTATATATTATAAAGTTGAAACATTTGTATTTTTGTAACAAATAAACTCAAAAACTATTGGACCGATTTCAACAATTCTAAAAATGCTATGTTATCTCTGAGTAACTATTTAAATGATTTCAATAATTGTTCTACTAGTAGTGTGCTACATTATCTTTGAGTAAGATAGGCTATGTTTATTACTAGAAATAAATAGATCCCTTATAAAACTTTAAAATGTAACCCAAGTTATACTGAAATTGACACTCGTGCATAGCCGGGACGGATCGCTGGTCATTTATAAATATAAAAATTATCACATTTTTTTTTTATTTTTCTCTTACTCACTATCCCCACTGACCAGTTAAGTTACCTTGTCCAATTGAAAAGAACTGACATAAAATGAAAATAGTATTTTTTTTATTGTAAAATAGATTTTTTAACACCTCATTTACATACATAGCAATTACAAAGACGATAGCCAAGTTCTTTGGAATGGAATTATGAATTAATTTTTGTATGTAAGTATAATAATAGTAAAATATAAAAACATTTTCATTCAATCTTTAAATTCATCTGGACCATAGCTCTTGGACTATACAAGAAAAATAAAATTGAACTTAATTACAATAAGCTTAAAATTCAAATTATTTAATTAAATTTCTGAAAACAATAAGGACACGAATATTCAAAATTCAACTTTGTAATGAAGTAAATTAAGTGCAATTTTATTAAATTTTCTAAAGATTTCATAAAATGCAATTTCACATAACACGTAAATTATTTGGTCACATTTCACAATGTACATAACACGAAGTGTGAACCAACATCATAATAAAGAGTTATAACTTAAAAATAATAATTTTCAATAGTGCTAAAACAGAAAAAAAGCTATTTTATCTAAAACGAAAACTTAACATTAATCTCTATACAATTACTAGCTACAATCGTGCATTTATATATATCGATACATTAAACACGAACATAACATCATTCAAATAAAAAGAGACTTTAAAACTAAATACAATACATGCAAATATCAAATAACCATGCCAAATTATACATGCACTCTTACATTTCAAATACAGAACATTCTATACAATTAATTAATGCAAAGCTTCTATACAGTATACATGTAGTTAATACTCATACTAGTATTAACATCGCATACAGCTATGACGAGCTCGTCATCCTACTGCGGCTGCGCGCCGTGCAATATTGTGAATCTGTGGCGCAATACGTTTGCGCGGGAAAAATAAAAAAAAAAACAGTAAAAAAGACTTCTTCTGCAGACATAATTATTAATTGTTTATGTCTATTACTAATTTCTATTTTTTTTTTAATATATTGAGGGTTTATTCCGGAGAATATGCCACAATACGTAATATCTAAACTATGGTACATTTCTTCCTATAATATAAGGCCAACTTTGACTATATTAATAATTTTAATGTCCTCTTCAGTTAGTCTTATTTAGAATACTATTGCAGAGGCCGATGCCGTTATTATACTGTTTGCTGGAGGTATATCGCTATGTTTATATTATTGAAAAAAGAAATGGTTAGAATTTATTGTCCGCTGAATATAATAGTGACGCCGCGGAATGTTCGAGAAGTGAAAAATTGTATAAAAGAAAAACAAATAATACCAGTGATCTATACGTGATGTTCCATATTTAAATTTTATAATTTTATTTTTAAATGCATTATTTGGCTATTTGCTATCGCAAACATTATCTCTATACTTATACAATAATAAGAGTATAAATACTGGCCCTACTATATCTAACAGCTATATTAATATCATTTAGTTATTTATTACGAACTGTTTATAGAGATAGAGATCTTTGACGGTTACTTACAAATACGTAAGTTTGAGGTTATTATATTGTGCCTTAACCTAGCTTCGACTGCCACATCGTTAATTTATCTCAATCTAGGTTGTGGGGGAAGGAGATTGTTAGAAACGTGGTCTTTTGACCCCATGGCTAGCAAAGTATCATGTCATCCACGCGGTTCCTGGAAACCATCTCGATACATTTCTGGTGAATTTGTAACCATGGGCTGACTGACTTGACTAACTGACCATGGTCATCTTATAATGAACATACCTCTACTGATGCCCCGCCAGCGTAAAGATGACGTGTAGAGTCATATTTTTTTATGTAATTGTAATGACACAGCCCTCTTGATGGTAAGTGGTAAACGTAGTGATGTCTCTTACACCATGATTTCACTGCCATATCTAACCCTTTAACCGAAACAGCTTACAATGCAAGCTGCTTGGCGGTTGAAATAGGAGAAACTAAGATACCGACGCAGACGACTTTTGAAGTCTATTTCAGTACAATAAATACAATGATTGGTATTAAAAAAACAGAGTTTTAAGTGAGCACAGAATTAAAAATATGACTTGGTTTAGAACTTCCTTATTCTGTCTTACTTTGCAGTTAAAATAGGCAAGACGATCTTTTATAAAGTTTACCTCAGTAATATAAACACAACAATTGGTACAACACTTAAAACCCTATTTAACTTAAAACCCTTTTAAGGTTTTAAGTAAGAAATAAAAAAAAATATAATATTAACCTGTCTTACATTCCGGTTAAAATAGGCGAGACTTTTACAAAGTCGACCTCAGTACCATACCATATACACTATGATTGGTATTAAAAAAAACAGGGTTTAAAATTTTTACAAAGTTTAGCACTTCCTTAGTCTGCTTCACTTTCCGATGGTCGCGTGTTCAATCCTAGTACGACACAAATACATATTTGTTATCGTTACATTTATTCTCATGATCTTCTCAATTGGATCTACATAACTGAACCGATCTATATAACTTTTCCGGGAATATTAAAAATATATAAGCGGCTAAAATGTCCTACATGAATAAATGATTTTTGAATTTGAATTAGAATATTTTTTAATAAATTAACACAATATATAGCCTATGTCAGTCTGGAATAAAGTTCCATTTAAAGAGAAATTAATAGAATTTCTCAAAACCGTAGTTTAGTTCCGGAGTTTACTTTACTCCAAATAAAATTATTTCTTCACACAGCGTCATCTAGTCCAAAGCTACGCAGAGCTTGTGTTATAGGTCCGAAGCAACTGATCGCGACCAATACATACAATCATACTAATTAATACAAATGTTTGTATCGCGCGAAGAATCGAAACAGCAACTATTGGAACGTAAGGCAGCATGCCAAATCGCTAGACCACTGAGCCTTGCTTAAAATAAGAATTTATAATAAAAGGTTAAGACAAAGCGAATTTTCACTTTGAAAGATACACTTCCTAAGTGACATATGTAAATAGATTATAAGTATACATGTAGTATCTAATATATAACATTCTCGTGTAAATACACGAGAATTTTATATAACAAAACTCCTCCGAAACGGCTTGACTGATTCATATGAAATTTTGTGATTCTGTTGTAATATTCACTGGGTCTAACTCTAAGAAAGTGTACTCTAAGAACTATTTTTTCATACGCCTAAATGTTTGGTTGTCCACCCTAAAGCATTTATATTTTTTTGGACAAGATTTATACAAATTTTTTTATGATTCTTCATTAAAAAATACATACAACCCTAAATCACTAACCCCTATTTTTAATGTCAATATTAATATGGCAAAACAACGTTTGCCAAGTCCGCTAGTGTTATTATAATATATACACACGCATAGTTATGGTGTTTGTTTGGGAATTCAAACTACACACGGGTGAAGGACGGGTTATTATTAAGATCAAGGTTATGAGCCAACAATGTTTCATTAAAAGGTTTATTTATAGCTTTTAGTTATAACAACCGCCTACCCAGTTATCAGGG